GCTGGACATTAATTAATATAATAACAACAACATTTATGCTGAAGTATATTTGTGCCTTAGGCTCACCCACTCTAGTGCAGGTTATAGGTGCGCCTAAGGCACAGATTCTCTATAAAAAGGTATTTTGGGATAGTAGAAAGGGAACAATGCATTCTAGCAGCTAGTTATTCTGAAATATGGAATCTAACACTATTAGTATGAGGGCAGTGGACCTTACTATAAACTCTAATAATATACTGCATTACTGCTTTTGCTGTCCTTCAGGGGTGGAGGCAGGAAAGGGAGAGGTCTAAGGTTATTATATTTAGCCTAAACATCTCTTCTGTTACCTGATTCCAACACACAACTAGGATATTCTGATCTTCCTCCCAGTAACCTCCATTTTGGAAATACCCTGGGCTGGTGATAAGTGACGGTCTTGGACTTGCGAGACATACTTCAAGGATACAGGGTTGACTAAGGTCGGTTATGGATAGCTGGTAAGTGGCTGATCTTCTCTGAAGACATACTTTCAAGCAGGGCACAACTCCTGTAGGGTCTCCACACATCTCGACTGTGAATTCTATTTGTATTCCTGAGGGAAGTGTGGAGGTTGAGCCACAAAGTGACCACAGCAATGTCATGGCCAGTTCTTTGGCTCAAACAGAGAGCGCTGCTGCGTCCGGCTCTTCTGAGCTCCTCATTCGAGACCCAGAAGTTCCGGCTCTAGTTGATGGTATGTACAGCTTGCCTGACTTGCAGCCATTTACTGATATATCAAAGTGAGTGTGCAAACAGAAACCTCTCTGCTGGGGAAGAGAAGATACGTGCATGGTATGCGTTATGATTAGGGATCTGACACCTGTGGCTGATTGTTTGTAGCAATCACGCAAACTACGCCTCACAAAATGGCGGTGCAGAGTGAAGATGGCATACTGAAAGGATTGAAAGCTGACAATAACCCCCAAAAGAGGAAACCTGAGAGCGCCATTCCGGAATCTGTTCCAGCAAGGAGGTCATTAAGAGTAAGGGTAGATAGACAGACATGATGTGGACAACTCACAAATCGTTTAGCTAAGCATGCTCCAAAACCGTGGCCTTGCGCGTGCGAATTACTCGAAATAAAAAGAATGCATGTATGGGAATGGCCATTGACAAATTCATCGCTGCAAGGCTAGGGATTAAATGTATGACCCACACCGACCTATTGCTGCCTCATAATACCATATTCAATACCTCAGTGGGAATATCTCCACTGCGCATGTCTACTTCTCGGCTCCTGTATGTGAAACCAGTTGGAGTGCGTTTCAGCGTACTACTATCCGTATGAAACCAACTATCGGGCTGAGATGATAGTATCCACGATGTAAAATACTTCTTGGACCATGAGAATTTGATGTCGAGCCTCTCAATGGTTATACCTAAATATGCAATAAAATTTAAGTAATTTGGAGAATCTCAGCTACGAACTTTATATTTACCTGCGTATATGGCAATGTGGTTTCCGGTTTAGCAAGTACCATAGGACGAAAACGGCTTTCCTAGGAGCCGCCGCATTCCTTACCTTAAGTTTAGCTCCCATCGAATGGGTTCGGTCTTTCTGACCATGGAACTACTTTTTGATTACTTAATGATGATCTTTGTATAAAGAGATAACCTTAATATAGACGGAAACGGAAGCCAGTGTAGCTTTCGTGCATTATACTGTATCAAATATGTCTATTAGACCTGTAGTGTCGTCATAGAGTGCCCAAAGTTCAGGCTGCTCGTGACGTCCTTGATTATAGATGAACTATCAATATTTCACTATTACGCACACTCTCTACAACTTAACCAGCCTTTATAGGAGAGAGGCTATACTATTTAAGACCACCTTCGCGTCTCACTGTAACTGAAGGATGTCCACATACGAACAATATTCACCAGTCTGATCATCACTAACACTACTGCTATCAACATGCATTTGTTTTCCCCTTGCCACCTCTGGAAAGCCGCATTGGTCATCTGCATGGCTAAAGGTGTCTACCCAAGTGCTTACCATGGTCCACCTGATCAAACCGGCCTTAACGCCGACATGTTCGATGACAAAGCCCTCGTCCACCAAGCACCTCATGATGGCAACCTTGCCTATGACGCCGACCGAGCCAAAGATAGTGACTTAGACGATGATGACGACCTGGCTTACGCTGAGAGCAATAACGGTACGGGTATCCACTACGGGAAATGCTACAGACTGTACGACGACGAGCTGTGGCTGGGGGGAGATTCTTCCCCGTGGAATTACTACGTCTTCGGGCGCCGTTCAAACGTTCAGACTTTTCAACTCTGCAAAAAAATGACAACCTGTGAGAGGCAGAACACGAATGACCAGGAAGTGCGGGACGGTGGGAAGTTCTATCTTTGGGACTTCCGTGGCAACCACTACTCGAAAACAGGAGAATTTGCCGCCTGCAACACTTTGGGCAACTTTTATGCAGCCGGTACCAGCTACCGGAACTATGCCTACTTCCAGGTTTACACGGATGATTGTCCGAATGGCCATTACTTCTGCTATCTTACGCTCAATATGGTGGGCCAGCCGTCTGGACACAATGGACTGCAGATCAAAAATAATTATCTTCAGAATGACTATTCCGGAAGTACTGTCACGCTGCGCTTCAAAGAAGTCAAGTGCCCTGATCCATGAGGATAGGGAGGATAGTCATAGATTCTATTGTGCTGCTGCCATAGTGGGAGTTATCTTACGGTGTGGGGTGGTCTAGTGGCTGTTTTGTTGTGATTAAGTTTGCTGGCGCATCACTTTCGCGCATGTATAATCCATAGTTGCAGGAACTTGTAGCTTTACGCATGCGGATTGATGTGTTTTAACTCGGTTATTGGATCTACTCGTTCATCACGTGTTTCACGTAGCTCTTCAAGTTCAGATTTGGCATTTTTTACTAGGTCTTTTGTGGCTTTCTGAGGTTTTCGACGGCCAAAGAAAGTTGGCGGCGACTGGACGGGAGAAAGCGCGGCTGCCGTCTTCGATCAATTCAAACACCAGATACGGCGTACGTAGTGGTCGGAGGCAACTAAACGTCAATAGTACTCCGTACAAACCGAGGCCTTGGAGACTTGAAAGTGTCCCGGAAATGGAATAACTCAATGCTATTCTCGCAAGCAGTGGCGGATCAGCACAAGCACAAAGCAGGTTCTGTCCCAAGTGAACTTTTACGTGCAGCAACACGGTGCCCGATATGGATATATACTAACAAACACCGAGTTTGTCGGCGGTATTGGACGACCTTCCGTGCTGTTAGGACTTTGGTATCTCGGCATGTTGGCCGCTGAAAACGATAACGGGATGCGTTATGATTAAAAATCGGAGACACGTGGCTGATTGTTCGTAACAAGTACGCAAACTACTCCTCATGGCATGGAGGCGCAGAGTGGAAATGTTACAGTGAAAGGATTAGGGTTTGGGGTGGACACCAAACGTTGATGCTGAGTACCTGCCGATCGAGACTCTACACAGACTCTCATAGTGCAATCCGAAAACCATATACAGACTTAATGTGCATTGTCGTGGCAATATTGTTATGGGTCGATGCTTGTTTGGATCCATTCTGCCTGCGTGAAACCTGCTGCGTCAGTAAGAATCTCCCTTCCACAAAGGTAAGCAGGGATGTGCTTAGATCCAAGTAGAACTGTGGGTGTGTCCCCGATTCATGTCTCTCCTCTGCCTGGCTCCTCAGGGCAGGACGCATGGATATTGTCCGCCAGGCTGACCGCAATGCGCCATCTTTCAGTGACCCTTGGGTAGTGAGCCTTGGGAAATAGGAGAATGATATTTGATAAAGGATACCCGTTTGGCATCAACATACAGGATGATCATAAGCCCACTACAGCTGCTGGTGGCATTTATATCCTGACCCGTCGCCTTTAATTTTGTATCCAGTGGACCTACTGGGGAAGTAGGATGCTAGCAGCCTATTAGGCTGCAACTCCGCTAGAGAGCATAAAGGCAGTTACTATAATAATAAATAGTCGTACCTGCCTTGAAGATAGTTAACTGAATTAACACACTCGTACATCAGTTCATTGTTTCAAAGGTAAACGTGGACCCTCACTTATATACTTCCGCTTCTTTGACGGCTGATTGAATTTTGATATTGGCAACACAATAGCAGGTTTCAACCTTCATATCACCTCTAGTATTGCGAAGCCTAGGCCAATCTGCCGTGAGCCTCTCCCAAGGTCGTTCCAGAAGCTTTTGGTTACAAATTATATAATTTTGATGCCCAAGGCAGCATAGAAAAGTATGTCAGCAGTGACTTTGGCCATTTGGATCACTCAACACGGTCTTCTCATTTTTATAGTGCCGAGTATATTACATCAAAGGAAAATAGCACATGAGCCATCTATGTCATCATAATTTGAGGGGCGTTTCCAGGATAGAATGAATTCTGAAACGAGAATCGAGGGCAAATTTTGTCCTTCAGACAAAGGTGGAGAGTCATGAAGGCCGTGCTTCCTAGTTAACTAGTGTTTTTGTCAGGAGCCTACCGCGCTAAGCTTCTTGTCTATGCTAAATCCCGCCCCCAAAATCACACCCTATAATAATCCATACCTTCTTACTCTTTTGGGCTTCTGCTCTGGAATCCAGCACCAAAATTAAGCTTCCCCCAACCCAGGGACCGACCCCCTATCCGCCGCGAGATGGGGCCGCCTCACCTTCTCCCGGATGGAGTTATGGAGGCTCCGGATCTGATGCTGCGTCCTGAGGCCATGAGAAGGACTGTTAGTCTGCTGGCTGTATGAGGTCTGCAGATCCTGACTGAGCAACTCAGCTAGTGATGAGGAAGAGGAGGAGGAGGAGGACGATTGCAAGGGATACCAGGCTCTGAGGCTTGACTGCCTCTCCCAAAGCACCGGACGGATACTATTGTGTGAGTATAAGGTATAGCGCTGGTCACTTGTACGACCTAAGGATAATGTGAAGCTAACATCCTCCCCCTCACTGGCTGCGCAGGAGGAGGAACTGGGGTCCTAGGGGCTGGCATGGCTAGCTGTTCTACCCGCACTACTGCTGCTCGCCAGAGCATCCATGATGGGGTTCTGAATCTTGGATGTCACCCTCCAGGAACTTGTCGCAAAAATAACATCCTTAGGTAGGTTTTTGGCAACACTGGCGAAGGATTTGGTGAATGATTTCTTGACTGTGCCCTTTGCTGTGCCTTTAATAACTTGTTGCGCTGGTTTGGCGGTGGCCTTGACTAGTTTGTCTCCTACCCCTAGGGTCAGGCTGGCAAGCACAGACAAGCCCAGGGTAATGCCCAGCTCGCCCCATTCGATCTCGTTGCTAGTGGCCAGATTGTAGGTCACTGAGGTTACAAAATCTGTGGTAATACCCACGGCAACTGAGACGCTAATCTGAATGGCAATGCTGGCCCCTCGGCCCCTCCCATGAGAATTGCTACCACCACCCTGACCGTGATGCCCACAATCAACATTGTGAAATCCTTCCAACCAAATTCCATCCCAAAAGGGCTGAAGTGGCTGCTCGGGTTGACTTAGTTGATAACTTGATGGGATCTTTGAGGCAGTATGTATATGGATTGATCTCCCCTGAGCCAAAGGGGCTGGAGGGATCCAGGGTGTGGAAGCGCATTACTTGAGGAAAGCCATATTCACGCATAATCTTAGAGTTATTTAGTTTTTTTGGGCACGAGCAGCTTCGCAGGCCTTAAGGAGGTTAGATCCATTAGATATAATAGATTTAGGCAGGTTAGGTGGTGGGAATAGCTTCAAGAGGTCAAATATTGAGAATTGGTGGTTACGGTGTAACTCACCGTGGGTGGGCTAGTCACGGATACGCCGCGCCCTCTCATGCTGATGGAGTGGAATGTAAACAATTCTACACTGGAATAGATTAAGTGCCAACCATCCTCATTGCTGGCTAGAAAGGAGTCCGGATGATGTACTTTTTAGTCTAGGAACAGTATCTCATCAAGCACTTGTACCATTCTAGATAGATCCTTAAGGGCCGTGGCCGTTAAATCCTTTGTTATCTTCGGGTCTTCACCTTCTCCTTCCTTTGGAATTTTCTGAAGGTTTGAGGAAGAACGAAGATCTGATATGCATATATTCTAAGTAAAGCAGGAGGGAATTAGCCTTTAAAAATATGAAAGCTTATCACACTAGTGTAGAGCCTCTAAAAGTTCCTGGTTCAATGATATACCTTGAGTTGAATCTCAACTGGGGACGTACCTCACCACGAACATGAGCATGACTAGCGTCAGGAGCAGAATCATAAACGGACTCGGTAATGGTCAATCCATGTTACTGACACCCAAAGAACTCAGGGACGCTCGTATCCAACCCCAACTCATCCAGCCAGTTTAAGAAATCCTCACTCGTTTCAAGTGCATTCATATTCGGTGTTGTCCCACTCTGGTCGTAGGCATTTAAGGACATCTCAATTGAATGTGAACTGTTCGGCATAGGGTGATTGCCAGTGCCGACTGGTGGCCCTTCTGCCATCTGCCCGGCTGACGGATAATCCAACGTATCATTTAGAAGCTTTATTATGACCTTGGTAACCTCCACACACGCCTGATGAGTGACATTAGTCGGTGTGCTAGCGTTTTCAAACCAGGAGACAAGAAGGTTTAGGTCGCGTATAATTCTGGACCGAGGGATGGAACATGTTAGTGGTACCCTGGCCACGGTACAGCGATGGAGTTCGGTTGCAACGACACCTGCTGCCGGGATAGTATAAAGCAGGAACTAGTTGACCGACAGGTTAGGACAGACATAGCGAGGATTACAGTGACTTACAATCCACGTGTACTGCTCGCGGATGCTGGTTTCTTGATTGCGGTGCTTCGCAAAGTCTGTGACTGCCGAGACGATCTGCATGGCTGAGTCCAGTAGGTCCGACATGGCATCGGGGAGCTCATTGTAACGGATGCGCTCAACCTGAAACAACGTGTGGAGGTATTCCAGGTGGATGACCAGACTTATTATGGCCAGATGCGGACCTAAAGCCTTCCAGGACTGTTTGCTGTAGTGGAACTGACCGGGAACTTTGTCCCACAATCGTTTACACTCTTGATAGGTAGCCCTACGAGCATATTAGCTTTCACCATACTGCGAGAAGTCGTGTGAATCCTACTGGAGTTCGTTTTGTCTGGAGTAAACAGAGCCCCGCCCCAAGGACAGTCCCACCACCTGCTCTCGCAACATCGCTACCATGTACCGTAGCCGGATGACGGTGGTAGGGCGAAGACCACCGCCGAAAGTACCCCATCCATCCGGCGTGAGCTGCCTTATAGCCCTGTCGACGGAAAGGCGGTCCAGGACTAGACTATCGTCATCAATATCCAAGGGTAGTTCCACGTCACAATAATGGTACGGCAGTCGAGGCGGCCTTCCCAGAAAAGTAGCGATATTCTTGTCGGCGCGATAGGACGCTGCAAAGACCCTCTTACGGGTCTCCGAGAGGAAAAACGGAACGGCGGACTCAGGACGATCCGGACGGTGTAGGCCCATGGCATAAATGCAGGAGACCAAGTCCCCAAATTGCGCGTAGATATGATGGCCTACTCTCTGTCAGCCTTGTGCATTCCAGGTCAGCTCCATGGAATGAATCGGCATTACTTGTCTCTCCCATTGTATTCGATGCCAGCACAAAGTATGTGTAGTTCAGCCAAACCGTCAAGTCATTCACATTGTCGTACTGTCTGCAGATTTCAATACATGCATGACTTGCTGCAGCCATCTCCCTGGCAAAGGCATCTGCGCTTAGTTCATCCTTGCCGTTCAGAGACAAAAATGGAGTGCCACGAGACGAGACGCTAGCACCGAGTCCCGCCAGGGCGAATATGAGGCCGACAAACTCCCATCGCACATTCGCACCCGTGAACAAATGGTAAAACTGGTTCGTCGTCATGTTTGCTTCAACTTTGACCGATTGAGCGGCCGTGTTTTGAGTGATCCGGGATCCCAGATCCTCTTGCGGCCATCTTTCCTTGTCCCAGTGGCTTCGAAGCAGCCCCAGGGGAGTAAGAACGAGAGGAGCTGGGATGACCGTGAAGGGGCTCCGATGGTATTCGTCGGTCACTAAATCTTCATACAGCCTGAGCGGGCGCAGAAGCTGAACCAGTCGGGGAATGACATGTGTGAAGTCGGCACTCCACGCCTTGCGCAGGGCGGATACATGGGCGATTTTCGGTGTAGAAAGGGTCAAGTCCTGTTGATTATGGTGAAATGCTGACATAAAGCTTGTGGATCCCAAGTATGTTGGCGGAGAGGTAGACGTGAGGCTCAATTGAGGCTCAGTTGGCAAGGTGCTGTCTCCACGACTGGTAGAGACACCAGGAGCCTCATCATCCTCAGGCGATGGGTTGACGGGAGACACGCTGCGAGGTACTTGTGCCTTCTTCCGTGATCTGGTCAAGGGGGCGGGATGATAGTAACACTGGTAAGCTCTCTGTCAGTGGACACCTTACTGATCCTCGTCATTTAAACCCAGATGCAAATCAGATTCAGTATTAGAAGACTGTCTACCTTGGAACTTAAACCCCTAACATCACATCGCCTACACGTTGGTAGTTGATGGTCGCACCTTATTTTAGAGACACGACATGGTTCGCAGGAGATTCGCTTGCCATTCTTACGGACCATAGCTTTGGGAATGTTCTCCATGGCGAACAGACTCGGTCGTCTTGACCATGCCCATATTACCACTTTTCGATGGTAGTTGTGATGGGAAGATGAAGCACCGAACGGTGGACAGTATCGGAGTGCCTGTCGATTATTAATCACATATTTACTCCGTTCGGGATAAGCGCCAGAGTGATCAGGCATCCTAAGGCATGTATTCCGAGCTCTGTCGGAATGAAACAAACAGATGAATGTAGTTGGTAGCATACAATGCCGCGCTCCTCCAAGATACTTATAAAATGTCTATAAAAATGTCTCCTGTACCCTCTTTCTACGGTTTTCTCTTAATCAAATGGCTACCGACCGTATTTGTTGTTATTGACTCCAATTCTCCTTCTCTCAGTACCAAGCATAGAGACCCTTGTCATTACCCACCACACTCATCATGAGCAAGTCGGACGATATCGAAAGACAGACGGTGGCTACATCCAAGAAACCTCAGGGGGAGCCACAGCAATGCCAATTGGTGACATGTGAGCATAACGAAGAAAATCTGCTTCCAGTGGTAGACGACGTACCCTTCGCGGTATGGCTGATTGCCTTCGTGGGAGCCGCTGAGCGCTTCGTCTGGTATGGAGCGACCAGCCCTTTGCGTGAGTCTGCTGTCAAGTGAATTGTGGCGAGGCAAGGATTCTGATACGTAACAGAGAATTACATTCAGCATTCATCCTCTAGCAAGGTTCCCGGCGTACTGGGTCTACGCGAGGCAACGGCGACCAATATTGTGAATGCGATGATGGCTGGGGGCTATCTCGCAACCATCCCAGCAGCGGCGGTGGCCGATACCTGGCTGGGTCGGTACAGAACGATTCTAGTCTCTGCTGTGTATGGTCCTGGGTTGATTGCTCGCATCGTCGTCAAGCTAATGATCGGATAGCATCCAACTCTGTGGCTCGGCGATTTTGTTCGCGACCTCCTTTCCTCATGCCGTTCAAGCCGGTGCCGCAGAAGGCGGATTAGCTGCTGCTATTATTCTCATCGCCGTGGGATCAGGAGGCGTGCGATCCTCCGTCGCTCCGTTTATCGGTATGTTTCAAGGAATGCATCCGTTGCCTGGACTTAAATCGAGCTGACCATCCATAGCGGAGCAGTATACAGAAACAACTCCCAAAGTCAAAGTGCTAAAGAACGGACGAAAAGTCATCACGGATCGAGAGCTCACAATCCAATACATCTATAATCTATACTATTGGTATTCTCCTCTTTTCCCTGCCTCGACGTCGAGGCGCTTGCTAACTTAGGGTTAGGATGGTGAATATCGGGGGGTTATCGGCTCTGACCACTACAATCCTTGAGAAGTATGTTGGATACTGGGCTGCATATCTTGTGCCCCTCTGTATGATGGCCCTGTCAGTTGTACCCTTGCTGGCGTGGCAACACATATTTGGTAAGTGGCCTTCCACCCAGCCGCTAGGGCAATAGGTACTCAATGTTCTCACCATCAGTCCGGCGCCCACCAAGTGGCTCGGTTCTCCCACAAGCCGGCAGGGCAATGTTGTATGGATTTCGGGAAGGGTTCCAGATGGATGGGGCCAAACCACAGAAGCAACAAGAGAAGCACCACCGACAGGTGCCGTGGACCGATACTTTCATTGATGAGTTGAAGAGTGGATTGCTCGCATGTCGTGTTTTGTATGCCTCCCAGCATATATGATTGATTCGAATGGACGAATGGACGGATAACTGACATGACACCATCCTCCAGCCTCCTCTTCCCCATACATTGGTTACCCAGACCTTCAATAACCTCATTTCCCAGGCCGGGCAGATGGTCAACTCCGGAGTCCCAAACGACACCATCAAGTCGCTCAACCCCATCACCAGCATTTTACTGACGCCGATAGTCTCGCGTGGCCTATACCCACTCTTGACCCAGCACCGGATCCGATTCGGCCCCATGGCCCGCATTGTCGTGGGATTTCTCTTTCTCACCCTCGCTATGGCCTACACCGCAATCCTCCAGAAATTGGTATATTCCACGGGCCCCTGTTACGATCATCCCCTGGCTTGCCCTGAGTCAGACCATGGCCGCATTCCCAATCAGATCTCGATGTTCCTGCAAACACCCATCTACGTTCTCGGTGCGATTGCGGAGATTTTCTGTTTCACCACGGGGACGGAATATGCCTACAATCAAGCACCGAAGTCCATGAAGTCGGTGGTTCAGTCGGTGTGGATGGCCACGGCTGGGGTTGGGGCCTGCCTAGCGATGGCGTTTACCCCGATCAACAAGGATCCTCATCTGGTCGTCATGTATTCGTCGTTGGCGGGCGTCATGGCCGTGGCAACTGTTTTGTTCGGGATATTCTTTGGAAAGCACGATCGGAAGAAGACCATTCTTCTATAGGTGATTATTGGGCGGTTTACCAAACTGTAAGGGAATAAGGGCAGAGCATTACATTACGGTATGTGGTAGCGGTGTATAGAAAGCCCAACCCGGAATACGGAGCAGACTCCGCTAAGCGGTCCCTCTAGAGGTTCCTGCTGCAGGTGCGGATTTCGGAGTAGAGACTCCGGTCTCCTGGACTATAGATGCAGTACATTTATAGTCAGAGGGGAGGAGATGTCACTCTTGCATATGTTATTATAATCCGGTAGTTAAGCAGTATTATACTAGCAGCATCACACGTTCCCACGTCTTGCAATGGCTGAGAAAAGTTCCTCTAGCGATGACGCAGAGCCCAAGTACGAGTATCCGTCTGGGCTGGCGGTCACCCTGATCCTCACATCAGTTACCCTGGCCTATTTCCTATTCTTCCTCGACCTTGCCGTCCTTTCCACTGCCACGCCGGCCATTACCTCCGAGTTCGACTCGTTGGTGGATGTCGGTTGGTATGGCGGCGCCTACCAGCTTGGAAGTGCAGCGTTCCAGCCTTTGACCGGCAAGATTTACAGCCAGTTTTCCATCAAGGTATGTTGGTCTACACCGCGCGTAGAATCAACCCTAACTAGATCCTGCAGTGGACCTTCCTTGCCTTTTTTATTCTCTTCGAGATAGGGTCTGCGATCTGCGGAGCGGCGCAGTCGTCGCCCATGTTCATCGTCGGCCGCGTCATCGCAGGCGTCGGATCTGCTGGTGTGGCCAACGGCGCAGTGACGACCATTTCCGCTGTCCTTCCAACAAAGAAACAGGCACTTTTCATGGGGCTCAACATGGGTATGGGCCAGTTGGGCCTGGCGACGGGGCCCATCATCGGAGGGGCTTTTACCACAAACGTGTCCTGGCGGTGGTGCTTTTACATCAATCTCCCTCTGGGCGTTGTCGTCGGCGGATTTCTTCTCTTCCACACGATTCCCGAACCGAAACCCAAGAGTCCGCCCCTGGAGATTCTCGGCACCGCCATCAAGTCTCTGGATCTTCCCGGTTTCATGCTCATCTGTCCCGCGGTGGTTATGTTCCTCTTGGGGCTACAGTTTGGCGGGAACCAACACCCTTGGAACAGTTCCGTGGTAATCGGCTTGCTAGTCGGCGCTGCCGTCACCTTCGGCCTCTTCCTGGTCTGGGAGCATCGTCGAGGAGACAAGGCCATGGTGCCATTTGCCATGCTCAAACACCGCGTCATCTGGTCGACCGCAATGACCATGTTCTTCAGCCTGTCCAGTGTCCTGGTGGCGGATTTCTACATTGCCATTTACTTCCAGGCAATCCGCGACGACTCGCCCTTGATGAGCGGCGTGCACATGCTCCCAGTCACGCTCGGCCTGGTTCTCTTTACCGTGGTCTCTGGCGCCCTCATCTCCATTTTGGGCTACTATCTTCCCTTTCTTCTTGCCGGCGGTGCCATCTCGGCAGTGGGCTACGGGCTCCTGTCGACCCTCAATCCTACGACCTCGGTTGCCAAATGGATCGGGTACCAGATTCTCTACGGTGTTGCAAGTGGTTGCACGACGGCAGCTCCCTACATAGCTATCCAGAACCTCGTGTCTCCAGCGCAGATCCCTCAGGCCATGGCGATTATCATTTTCTGGCAAAACATTGGGGCGGCTACCTCTCTGATCGCCGCAAACGCCATTTTCAGCAACAGCCTTCGTCATCAGCTTCAGGAGCGTGTGGCAGAGATCGGCCTCGCGCCAGACGCCATCGTCGCTGCGGGAGTCCGCTCCATCCGGGACCTGGTGTCTGGCTCGCAGCTGGCTGCGGTGCTTGAGGCCTACGCTAAAAGTATCGACCACGTCATGTACCTCGGTCTGGCGGTCAGCCTTGCGGTCTTGATCTTTGCTCCGGGACTCGGATGGAAGGATATTCGCAAGGTCAAGGATCTTCAGGTTATTGGCAGCGAGTCCGCTGACAGTGGTGATCAAGAGTTGGTTGAGACGAGTAGAGTTATCCCAGCAATGGCTTAGACAAGGCTGTAGTCACTATTCTTCATATAAACATTCGCCTGCTGAGGTTACCAGTCATTATTCGCAGTATACTGATTCTTGCTGTGCTGCGCATGAGGTGTTCACTAGAATAAATTATAGATCTTTAATATTACTTTTGTAGTGACTTGATGCAAAGGACCCGCATGCACAGAGCAGAATTACTGGTACGCCAGAAAATCTCAGTCACTCTGGTGAATTGAATTACACTACAGATAGTCTTAGGTGCGGCAATTTGCTGGCACACACACGTTTCAACCAGATATACCAACAAGACAAATAATTTCGATCGCATAGCAGGAAGCGCAGTAATCGGGTATACTAAATAACTACAACAACGATATCTTGTCCCCGCCCTATTCAAAGCTCGCTCAACTACAACGTCACGACAAGCTTCTTCCCCGAGACACCCATCCTCTGGAGATCCAGAGCATCTTGAATCTTGTTCAGTCCCTTGCCCACGATGTGCGTGGGAGGTGCTGGCACAAACTGGCGCCGCTCAAGCGCTTGCGGCAGGAACTCCCTGTAGATGCGAGCCACGACGCTCTCCGGGTCAACTAGGCCATCAAGGAGGATGAATTTCGCTTCGACCCCGGTCCGACGGCGCCTCGCATTCGACTTGATCATGCCCCCCACTATCCCCATCAAGTACGTGCCTTTGCCAGCAAAGGTCGTGAGTTTATCGGCAGGTATTATGGCGCCAGCCACGGCGATGCGCTTCCGCGTGAGGCGGACATCATGATGCCTCATCACAGCGGTGCATGCCTCGACGGCCCCACGCCCAATCGTGAGGGCACCGACCAGCTCGTCGCCCCGTAGAGCGGTCAGGAGGTCCTTGACCAACGTTCTGCTCCTGTAGTCAAAGACATGGGTTGCACCGAGACCCTTGACGTAGTCGAAGTTCTTTGGGGACGAGGTAGATAGGACTTGGTAGCCGGCGGACACGGCCAGCTGCACGGCGTTGCTTCCCACGCTTGACGCGCCGCCAGTGATAATAACAGTGCGCGGCAGGCCCGACCTGCCCACCACGTCCGTGGGCGCTGGGACCCGAGGCATGTCGAGGCCCAGATAGTCCGGGTGGAAGAGACCCCACGCCGCTGTCAAGAGGCCCAGTCCCAGGACACAGGCCTGTTCGTCGGTGATGTGGGCTGGAGTCGGCGCCAGCATGTGCTGTCGCATGACCGTGTAGAGCTGAAAGCCTCCCTCGGCCGGGCGGTTGACCTCCTTGGCTATGGCAGTGGCGCTTCCGAAGACTCGGTCGCCTACCCTGAACCGCTCCACGTCGGGGCCGACCTCGACCACTTCGCCGGCCACATCGGTGCCAAAGATGAAGGGGTACTTGATGTAGCTGGCGATCGCCGGCCCAATAAATTGCAGCACCCAGTCAAACGGGTTGATGGCCACGGCGGTGTTCCTGACCACCACCTGGCCGGGGCCGGGGGGCGTGTAGGGCGCGTCGCCGACCTTGAACGGCCGTGCCTTTTTGGCGGGGATCCAGGCAGCCTGATTCTTTGGAGCCATTGCGATCGGACGGGTGTTGCACCAATCAGGGAGCAAATGGAGGGTGTGAAGTAGACAGAAACAGAAACAAAAGCCGCAGAACTTGAGTGCGGTTACATGGACACGTATTAGTAGAAAGCTCTAAGAGATATCAGGGCTTCAGCACTGGGTACTACTTGAGCATACCGTGGCGGACTCTGAACGGCATTCAGAGGACTCACGCCGTAGATGTCCGTTCGAGTGCTTTTCGCTCCATTTTCCCTCCCTGTATCGTCCATTGAAGAGGTGCTGAGAGCGCCGCATCGTAAGTGGCTACTACCCCTGTTTTTTTACTTATTACTAACATATTACCCCGCCGGCTCCTCGTCTTCCTGGCGGCTAGATCCGACTGTTAATGGACAACCCTTGTATATAAACGGACTTCGGAGGTTTAAATCCGTCGGCATGACAAGGCAGGATTTAAGTAATCTCCGTGCAAGGAGATCCCTACCTTCCCTCCGTTCGACATCTCTCAGCAAGTATCCCCTACATTTCATCAACTGAGCAATTCGGGATTTTATGGAATACTATGGAGAGATCGAAATCGAAACCAGCCCCCGGCCAATCCTGCACCTATGGCCAAGCTTGCACGCATTGCTACAAGGCCAAGTGTCGGTGTGTGCGTGCCCCAAATGGTGATACTTGTGAAAGGTGCCTTCGTCTCAAGAAAAGGTGTGAGCCATCAGAGTCGGTTCGCCGACGGAATGCTCAAAATGCCCAGACAGCCAAAGTATCCGATAGGCGGATTGCCCGGCTGGAGGACAAAATGGAGAGCTTGTTATCTGCCATGAACTCTTTCCTTGGTTCCACGGCGAGTTCGGGGTCTGCTGTCAACGTCCTTCAATCTCTGCACGGAGACGGCATTTCATTATCCACGTCTTCTTCGAATACCACTCTAGTAACCCCTGCGAGCACTACTCCGCGCTTCACTGAGGGACTCAACTTCGCGACAGACGCGCTTCATTATTCACTATCTACCCCCGCTCCATCGCCAAACCAAGCAGACGAAAGGCTCAATTTCTTCCGGTCCCGAATGCTGCCTTCCTTTCCTTTCATCGATCTGACTCCAGACATTACAAGCTGCTATCTGCGTCAAAACAGGCCCTTCTTGCTCCAAGCCATCCACACTGTGACCACATTCTCGACCCAGGAAAGACTGACTCAGGTGGAGGAGCTGAAGCATCTGCTATTCACATCGGCTTTGCTACAAGTCCAGTCAAATATCGACCTGCTGCTTGGATTGCTAACATACCTAGCATGGAGTACTGACCCCTTTCTTGGCCGAGCTGACCTCGTCTCTCGCCTCATGATGCTGGCAATTTCACTCGTCTATGATCTGCGATTGTTCAAACCATCCTCGCCGGACGTGGAACTCATGATGACTATTACCCAGGGGCGGGCGGATGACAATAATCAAAGCCACAACAATGAAACGCACCACGACTTATTGGAAAGACAGCGGGCAGTACTGGCGTGTTTCATTTTGAGCTCTAAGTGCGTGTGCCTCTGTTCTTATGATCGAAACTATATTAACATATGTCTATCCTAGTATTGCGTCCCACCTTGGGCGTCAAGACGCTCTACGATGGACACCTCAGATGGAAGAGGCGCTTCGAGTCCTCACAATAAGCGAGGCATGTCCTGCAGATCGGCTATTCGTCTCTCAGGTCCGCTTGCAGTTGCTAAAGCAAAGAGCAGATGATGTCCGACAACAGGACGAGGCTCACACAGGAACAGCTCCTGCGGCGGTTTCAGCTCCTCGTCTATTGTATCTAAAGTCTTTACGAAGGGAGCTACACGAGCTAAGATCTTTGTTTCCTCCGGATCTCCCCCAGCTAAGTAAGTAGTTCTTCAATCGCATGGCCTGACAAACCATCTCCTTGCGGGATGGCTAATACCTTACATGCAGACATCCTCAATGCACACGCCCAATACGTCGAATTATACATAAACCAGCTCGCCTATTCCGTCAGCCAAAACTCGCTTCCTCTCAGTCTGACCGGACAACTGGGATTCGAACATCTGAAGTGTCTGTGGCAGTCGGTTGAGAACATCAAGTCGTGGCTGGACCATTTCTACCAGATCCCTTGCTCGGACCTTGTCGGCCAGCCCTTTCATTTTTGGTCCCAGATGATTCTGACAGTTACACTGTTGAAATACCTCTCAACACTTCAAGACCCTGAATGGGATTGCCAGGCGGTGCGGGGAACAGTCCACCTGATCTCGACGATGGACTGTATGATTCAGAAGCTCGATCTGAGCAGCAAAGAGCCGGAGCTTCAGTGCGACGACCATTTACTCAAGTTTTTATCCAAGCTTTTAACCAGATGTCGTCTGTGGGCCGAAGCTCGATGGCATGATGAGGAGACCGGGCCGGGCCGGAGCGCCAGCTGTGACACCACTGGTCACAATCATCATATCCCGGAGCTGGATCAGATGGTCTGGATGCAGTCGATGGATTTGGGGGATGATCAGTGGTTTGAAAATGTACTGGGTATGCCCACCACATTCTACTAGTTTGAATGTCCATATATGGTACGTGGAAAAGCCATAGGTGGGTATAATACTTTGGTTTCAGAGCTCGGACTGCGAGATTCAATCTATCTACACCTATGCAAGTCCGACCAGTAATCTCGAGTGAGTGCCAGATCTATCCATAGCACTGCATCGCTGCCTCTTGGGGTATAGACAGTCATGCATCGTGCCATATTTTGAATTTTGTTTAATGACATGTTAGTGCTTTCCCTCGGAGCTCCTACTCCGGTTCAAAAGCGGGCATCTTGGGAAGCACTCAGTTATCCGCTCATTAATACGTAGTGATGATGGCATTGCTAGGGATTTGCCGCCATACGAGCCGTTCAGTGTCAAATAGAGATTTCATTCTCCTCTAATAGTTTGCGATTTTATTGGATACATGACATTGTTACCATTCTCTCTCGTCCCTCCAGAAGTACGATTACTCGCATGTTGATACACGAGTAGACTTGGACTTGAGCAGAGCCTCCTTCATTGCCTGGAGATTGGCCTTCCTGCGCTTGGCCTCTTCCTCAAAGTACCGTTCTACCTCTTTTGCCTCTTCCACATCTAAGACTTCCTTTTCGATTTCATATGCTCTCTGGTACTCCGGAATCTCTTCATACTTTGCATCGCGGTCGTACAGTTCGTACAGTTGTCGGGTAATCTTCTCTGGAACGTCGTAGTTGATGCGGAAGAGATGGTCATCCATGCACAGTAGATCCGGCGCGACAGACGGTATGGTCCAGGCTTCATTCCCAGTTTGGGGCGGGTTATCTTTAGTGGCCATTGCGAGGGTTATAGTTGTTGTCAGAATGATAATAGTTGTCTTCTTGAATAATCAACGAGCAATCTGGTTGTGTAGAGGGAACAAATGGAAGGAAGAGTTGATGGAAAGGGTAGAATTGTGAGCCGTGGAAAGGAATATATGTAATCATCAGCTACTTGAGAACGAACTACTATTATTGGCGGCAGTTTTTGATTCGGTACAGTATCTAATTGCATTTCTTCCCGCGGTATCCTGGACGAACTTGGCCGAAATGATCCTGTCCGGTGAGATGGCTACGTTTCAAATATTTCCTTGATCGTTAACCAACTTGTCATATTACAAGTTTAGCCCCTTACTCCTTAAATATGTTGCTTCATACCTTTGGCGTAAGGGACTCTCCATGTCGTTCGCGAGCGATAGCAACATCAATGGCCGTCTCGCCCTCTGTGTTCCGCACCATAGGATCCAGACCCTTTAAAGGAGGAACAAAAGCCTTTCATACGTCCTCAGTCTTGTGCTGTCAGATCTGCCCCAGCCTTCTCAAACATCTCCAGGACGACTTCGTCGATTTGGCATATGGCTCATCCATATCCAGCAATGCATGAAAGGTATACCACTTTTCGTGTCAATACGCGGAGCAGGTAGGCCTCATGCACATTTCGCCGCTCAATTTGGGTGATTCCCAGAACAAACCTTTCATCAATGACCTTGTCATCCTGGGTCTCGCCAGGGAAGCTCGACCAATAATTGTAGATCCTGACCGACTGGTGAAAGAGCGCATAAGGATCAGCACCGTGTTGCAGGAGTGCTGTTGCCATTCGGGTCATGTTCATTTTTGCTCATGTGGGTTTGATTCAAAACGTGAGTATATCAATGCAAGGCGAAGAGGGAACTCTTGTCTTCCATTGTAGAGACTAGAAACCATCTAGTATCAGGTACGCTGGGAGTCACTATTATGGCACTATATCCAGAATGCGCATACACATCAAATCAACACCATCAAAGAGGGCTACAATCCTACGGACGTGCGGTCAGGGACCAGAGTGTATCTTTCTTGATCAGTAGCCTTGGAGAATCGCAGAGGTGCCTGAGGCATGCGAGTACAAAAATGGAGCAAGTCAGCGTTTCCCACCAATCATTATGCTTCTTTGCGCCAAGAAAGGCTTAAATGAAAGCCACTAAGCCCAAAATGGTCAATTATCGCGATGTCCTCGCCCCAGCTTTGTTCAATGGCTATAGATAGTCAGATATGATGAACGAGGCTTAGAAACTTACAGCCAACGCTTTTATGGACAGAGTCTAGTGATTCTGTGGCTCACTGAAATGACGCGGTATATATAGCAGGTCGACCATATCCTGTCATTCTCAGGACCATCTCCTGCCACCAACTTACTTTACAGTTAGATACAGATAAAACAGCTCGTTCTGTCTTCCAATTGATCAATCAACCTCAACTCAGAGCGGATCACTATGAAGACGAATACAATGCAGTCTCTCTCAGTGGGCCACACCCGCATCGCAATTGCTGAAGTGACCATCTTCTCCCTCATTCAACTGGTACAATTTATCACAAGATTCATGCAAGAATGGCAGTACTGGCACCACAGAAGGGAGAGAAATATCCACAGATGCGTGCTGTACTCCTGGTTTGGCATGCTTGGGATTTTAGCGCAGCGTAAGTGCTAATTTACCTGCCCACTATGGTTTCGGGCAGGGCTGATCGAGGTGGGTCAGTCCGAATTGCGGGTTCCGCGATGGTGATTGCTGTTTCCAATCCGAGCAAGTTGGTCTTAACGGCGGAGATCATTTTGCAAAGCATCGGACTCTCGCCTCTGTTGTTTGAGGTGAGCCTTGTCCTGTTGCGAAGGTATGTCATGCGTTTGCTCAAGAGGTTGCAAATACTAACGTCTAGAAAGTGGACAAGCTGGACGAAGCGGTCCCGGAAACACAAAGTATCCGAAACATTTGCGTTTCTTGCTTCACGGCTTTCGCTTCCCAGTTATCTTGTCTCTGGTCTGTGCCGTTGTGGGTGAGACAATGAATATTTCCGTCTGCAAGAGTATTGGCTCGGCCGTCTTCGTCATTACCTTTGCATTCGTGATCGGACTTGTACTTTGGATAGCAATCGCGTACCGCACGGTTCTGCCCAGAATCGGCCACCGCGGCGTGATACTGGTCCTTGCTACTCTGCCATTCTTGGCTGTCAGAATCGCCTACTTTTTGCTGAGTGAGTACGGATCAGCTGAATTCAACGCTGTAGCTGGCAAAGAGGAGATCAAAGTCGGTATGGGCCTGTTGATGGAGATAATCGCCACGGTGCTTTTGTTGCTATCACGAGGCACAATGGAGCCATTTGGATACAAAACTCTCCATACTGAGGAACGCGAGACAGGGGACAGGCCTTGAGCACGGTGGATTTCATCTCAACGAGTTTGGACATGATGATGGTAAATACGAGAGAAAGAGGGTTCAATCAAATGGCGTGGCAAAATTCTTGGGTTGCACAGCTGCATAATACTGCGACATTTGCACCAAACGGTTCTCTATCCAAGCCTTTATTTTGGGGTCGGCGGCCTCGTATGCCACACGCAGCGGAAATCCCATTCTGTACGGCCCTAGTGGACCAGCACCGTTGTATTCCACTGACTTGCAAATCTGATCTCGGAAAAAGGCGACCATAGCTTCATGTTCACCAGGATAACCAAGGGTCCGTAGGGCCTCGTGTATGATAGCCATGTATGCTTGGTAGGAATTGAATATTGAGGCGATATTCAGATCTGAATAATACAGAACGATAGGATAGACTTCATCATTGGTCGACGACAGCCTTTCGCATGCAGGTGGTGCGATTCGGGAAAAGCGGCTATACCATTCTAACAGTCTGTTCTGCATCTCAAGGATCCGGGTCAAGGTTTCGGACGCCTTCTTCCAGGTTGCAGGACTCGTCATATCTGATGCTTTGATATCATAGAGCGCGTGAACAAGGCTCGGTGCCAGTGTGAATAGAGCTATGAATTCCTCTAACAGATCTTCCAGCTTTCCGGAGTAGAATGAGTTGATGCGCTGCCGCATCACGGCATGCCAGCGTTCTGAGGCTAGGAAGCATCGTTCCCCAGAGAACAGAGAGTGCATTACCTGCACCCATGTCAGTTCCATCGTAATCAGGGCAGAAAGACCAGCCACCCACAATCAATCCTCTTGCAGCTTTGAGTAATGTATTATTGAATTGGTCCTTGTAAGCGTTCGGCCCACGAATCTCCGCTAGCTGACTTACAGCCTTTGCATGTTTCATCCACGTGTCTGGATTTTGATTATTCGCAAACAGCTAAGTTCATCAGTCGACATTGCTTCTTCCTGCGGCGGAGATTAATGGGATGCCTACCTCGTACAAGCATAGAAGTAGCACCGCGCAGAAGATATCGGCAGACAGACCCTCAGAAGGGGCGTCTAGACACTTTCGAAGTCTGCTCACAGCCTCGATGTACGCAAATCTAGAATACTGCGCCATTTGGACGTCCTGCAGCACCCTCGAAATATGGTGTGCTGTAAAGCATCGAACAGTTGCATCCAGGGTTCTGTTCCGTCCATAAAGAGATGGAAGACTGCTGAACCATTTGGAAACAATGTGGATTGAAGTCGACGAGTAAGGCTGAGAGAGGTCATCGGCTACTGACGAAAGTCCTTGGAGGACATTGATCCCTGGGGAAGACAGCGTGGACACTGGTGTACTCAGTATCATTGATTCCCTGTCTGCCTCGTAGTCGTCTTTGTTAGACACGCTCCGTTCAGAACCAGAGCCATCGGCTCGAGGTACGCGTCGAGAACGATAAGGTTTCCCAGCTATGAACTTGAAGTTCCTGACATAGCCGGGGCACGGCTTTCCGTATTTCTCACACCGCGCACAGCCTGGAAGTCGCTCATCACACTATATACATGTCAATGGTGCGTGGCCTCCCATCCTTGGAAGACAGACAAACCTTCACGCGACGCTGGACGCAAAGTAGGCAGCCAGAACTCCGCCCACCTGCCATTTCTAATATTCCACACTCTATTGATTATCGACTGATGAATCCTGGAAAGGAAAGGTGATGTGGACGTGGTCAATACGAGACTGCTCAGTGTAGCTACGGCGCGCTACAGTGACCAAAACCCCATTTGCTAGGCCAATAGGAAGGCAACCCTCGCAGTGCACATAGTATGGCTAGAAAGAATATAATTACTACCTCTGTTTAAGTTATTAAGCTTAACAGTTATAGTAATTTTAAAATCAAATAATCCATTCTAAATTATGCTGAGGAAGAATATAACGAGGCTCTATAGATTTTTAACCTATCTGTGTGGCACTGTGGCCTCCTCTTTCCCTAAATATCATTAGGTAATTACCAATGTATTTATAGGATAATGCCATTATTATGCAGGCAGCAGTAGAACATCGGTATATCAAAATGGTGAGGATATTTCTGGATGCAGACATGGATGTAGAGCCTCTAGTCTTACTGGATCTAATCTCTGCTGCTTATCTTCTAGGCCACAGAAGGAGACCATCAGATGTTATTCACTTACTGCTAGGACATGGGGAGGATATTCAGTGCTTACTACTAAGTCTGAGGATAGCTAGCGGTGAACCCTCAAAAGTCCCATTGATCCAGCCAGTTGGACATTTGAGCGAGCGAGACCGGCCCGAGCGATGCCATGGTTCTGCTGGCTTGCTTGGAATTCTCCACGCTGATCTCAGCATTTGGCACGCCCGCACTGCGAGCTAATGCCTGATAGAAAGATAGAAGTTTCAGAGCCGGTCTCTCGGCAAGGTCCTGAGGGGAAGGATTCCGGATGTGTTCCAGCTCATCGACCCATTCCGCGAGGGACACCACGCTCACAGGATATCTTTCCTGAATGGCAGGTATCAGGGAGGCCCAGGGGGTCCGTGACGGGTTTGTCAAATGAAAAACGGCATGGGGTTGTGTGGATAGTGATGGCCGACGGCTCAATAGGATCTCGATTGTGATCTTGGCCAGAGTGTCCTATTTTTGTTAGGCCTGGCGATTCATTAAATGTACGACAAGGTTAGACTCACCACAGCAATCCAATCCACGAGAAAACTACCCAGCGTATCCGGTACTTTCCCCATGCTCTTAGACGTCTTTATCACGGAGGGCAGCCACTCGTGTGGATTCCACAGCCCCAACCGACTATCCGGTCCAGCGATCTGTCCCACACGTAGGACGCTCGTCGGCACGCCTGATCTCCGAGACGCCTCCAAACAAATCCTCTCCCCTACATGCTTTGATTCGCCATATCCTTGCTTCAGCACGGCGTCCACCGTGTCCATCGGCGATTCAGGGACAGCTGACTGGTCAGAAGAGGGCGTCCATGCTGCGATTGTGCTCACAGAGGAGACAAAGGCAAGGTGGGCATTGTAGCGGCCCTCGAGGCTGAAATTGACGAATTCGCGCACCCCTTTGATATGAGGGTCTTCGAACGACGAGACAGGGTGATTGAAGTTGACTTTCCACGCATTGTGAACGATGAGGTCAACTGTATCCAGCAGTTTGTTGTACATGGAATCATCAAGACCAAAGTGTTTGTCCCCGAAGGACACGTGTAGGAATTCGACCTTGCTGGGGTCTTCCAAAAGCGAGGCGTCCAGTCCCTTTTCGGCAAACCCTTGACGTTGGCGAGTGGCTGCATCAGCGGCCCGATTGAAACAGTATACCTTTGCGACTTGAGGATCGTTCAATAGGCCGGAAAGGATGTAAGTGCCCAGTGAACCGGTAGATCCGGTCAGTATAACAGTTGAGAGCTGCGGCAATGGAGTTGAGGAGTTGAGGTGTCGAACTGGGAGATCAGCTGTGTACTTGGACACTAGGCCGGCAATTCTTTCGGAGCGTGATTCCGTCGGGGCTATCGCTGCTTGCTCCTGAAGGACGTCCAAAAGCAGACCAGCGAGCTTCTCCGTGGTGGGTCGAGTATAGACGTTCTGTACAGTAATGCTTTCCGTACTCAGCCCCGGGTTGTAAGACGAGACTGCACTTCGCAAGGTGTTGCTAAGCTGAATTGCCTGGAGTGAGTCGAGCCCTAAGCCGAAAAGATCATCCCTAGGTTTTATATCAGCTCGCCCAGTGAGGGAGGTAATGACTTCATGTACATAGCAATGTACACTCTCAAAGTCGATCGTCGATGGCAGCTCAGCCCCTAGCTGTTTCTCTTGCGCGGCATACATTGCGTCAATCTCCTCTTCGTAGTCCACATTGACGGCATGTCGCTGGGTAGTGCCCTTCGGCGTCAATTTGAATGGCTTTGCGGGGGATGCAAGGCGAATCATGTTTTTCAAGACCTGCCCGTATCGAGGAACGGATTTGTTGGCAATCTGCACCAACGGCCAGATCATATCCACAAAATTCCGTTCGTCAATATTCCCAGCACGATCATCAATCGCGGGTTCAATCAGCAGGCCTGTCTGGAACCGGCCCTGTCCGAAGACCAGAGCACGATGAACAGAAGGATGACCTTCGACAATCTTCTCCAATGTCACCGGATTCAGCTTCTCTCCGTTACTGAGCACGATTACATCGTCCAAGCGGCCACGGTATTGCCACAACTTCGGGATTTCCGGATGCCGCACATAGAGATCTTTGGATCTGTACTCTTTAAGAGACGGAAATGTATGGAATATCCCATGCATCCGACGAGAATCCTCCACGCGAGGGATCACTAGCTCGTACAAATCATCCGCGATGGGCTGCATATCGATCCCATAGGCCGGATTCCATTCAAAGTAACCCCAGTTCTCCTTTCCCTCTGGGACAAGGGAGCTGATAACGCCCATCTCGGTGGATCCGATTGGATTCCTTACCTGGGTGTACTGGCTTAGCTTGTCTCCGACCTGCTTCGCCAGCGGAGCGCCTCCGTAGCAAACGAACTTTAAGGTACCGAGGCATTCCAGAGCCTCCTGGGACAGGCTCATGTCTTCGAGGATCGATGGTGGCAGGATGGTCGCAGTAGGATGCGTTGCACGGATGACATCTACCAGCAGGTTGACAGACAATGGCTGGTCCGAGATTGTCATGAAAGGGATGTTGTGGAATATCGATTCAAAAAAGGACACAAGACCCATCATGTGGAAGTATGGTGTGACTGACAGAACTGGATTGCTTGGATGGGGATCGGCCGAGAGCAGGTCTTGGAAAAAGGACGGCGAGCGGCCAGCGGGTCGAGGCATGAACGCGCTGTAGTCGACAGTGCCGAGGAAGCCATGGGTAAGAGACACAGGTTTGGGCATACCTACAGAGAGATAATAGGATCATAAGCCAACCAGCCAAGCAGTTGTAGTTATCCCCCTCACCTGTTGTTCCGGAGCTGTGGATTATGAATGCGGTTTTGTCTTCCATCTCCTCATACGTCGAAGT